GCCAATGGTTTTTCTGGAGTAGTTTTAACACTAAGATTATTTTCCATGGACTAATCATGACATTTAAATGATTTTTTAATCACTTGTTTTAACGAGAAATCATTGTGAAAATCATAAGTGTTTACCGAATTTTCTTTAAAGTTTTTCAAACGGTTTGAAAATCACTCAGGCAGACAAAATTTTAAGAAAATGCGCTTAAACGTACAGAAATTGACCCAAAATCAGCAAAAAGCGGACGTTTTTGGCTCACACTTGAAGTTCCTGATTGTGAGGCAAAAATGTCCATTTTTCTGCATTTAAAGGCGTTTTCAGACAAAAATGCGTTTGCACGTTTACAAAAAAGAGAAAAACTGACAGTTTTTTCATACTGGAGATGCACGATCATGATTACAGTGACGGTTCTTGAGCCAGAAAAACGCAACAACTTTTTCTCTTTTTTTGTATGCGTGCAAACGCATTTTTTGTCTGAAAACGCGTTTAAATGCAGAAAAGGGGCGAAAAATGGGTGTTTTTGTTGATTTTAGGCCAATTTCTGTAGGTTTAAACGCGTTTTCTCAACTGACAAGAATATAACATCGTAGAAATTGTGTTTCGTTAAAAACGCTCTTCCAAAATGGTTGAAAGCTTGACGATCATTTTGAGATGGCCATTTCTAGCTATTGATTTGGTCAGTTTCTCTAGATCAACGCATTGAATGTATTGAAGCAGTTGTTTTTAGGTTTATAATGTGTAAAAACTTCGCTCCAGGCATTTTTTGTCTGCTGAAGTGCTCCTAGAAAATTACAGAGACTGAGCACAGACCTACGAAAAATTTTTGCGTCGTCCGTAGCCTATATCGGTATTCATATATGTGTGTGTGTATGAATGTTGGGAATTCGGAAGAAGTGCAGGACTTCAGTCAGAGTCAATATAGTTTTGACAGTCTCATCGTAATTATTGGTAAAAGATTCGTTTATTTTACGTGAAATCCCCAAAAGTCAATTTCGTCTAAATCACAATAGAGTGGTTTTTTGAGACTGAAATCCGTCTTTTGTGAATTAGACGGTTGGACGCATTACAAGGAACGTCTCTCCAAGATAAAAAGCTTCCTTGTTTTCCAGTTTCTTACGTGTAAATCTTGCAAAATTGGTAATTTTATTAAGATAAACAGAAGTGAAAACGAAATTTATGCTGGGTACTACCCAGTGAAAATAAAGAAGGAAACAAGGAAAGCTAACATAATTTATTATTTTGTAATAAAACATTGAAAAATTTCTTCGTTACTTTATTTTAATGGTCTAAAACGATGATATACCATATTTTTCTCATTGCTTGTTTGTTTACACGTGGGAGAAAACCAACAATGCGTTTCACCTTCTATTTTGCGTTCACAAGACACTACTCCGACCATAGCCTACAATTAAAAAATTCATCAAAATAGACTTCTTTAAACTATATCTTCCAGTATGTCTTTACTATTACACTACTTTTTAGTAATTGCTTTTATTGCAGATTGCAGCTTTACAAAGTTTTAATATACTCTATAACTATCGTATCAATTTTTTCATCATTGACATTTGTTATACAAGGATAGCAACGATTACAATGCCCAGTGAAAAATATCTTTATATACTTGGATCCGTAGCTGGAATTCTTATTCTTATTATAAATCTTGTATTAGTTTCTATGATTTATGTTAAAGTACAACAGCGACAACAAAGTCAAGACTTACCAAACAATGATTTATTTCCTTTAGATTGTCCTATATTGATATTAGGGGCTGGTTTTGGTGGATCTAATGTAGCTTATCGTTTAGCACCTAAATATAAAAATGATTTATGTATAATTGAACGAGAGAATTATGTTGGAGGAAAATTACATGATGTAAATTTTAAAGGTGAAACCGTTCAGGCATTTGAAACTAGTATTGTTCCACTGAGTGCAATACGATTTTATAAATCTCAACCTGTTCTGGTCCAGTTAGCAAATGAATTAAATATAACTTCAAGCAGCTATGCTTTTCGATCAAGTTTAATTAAATCTCGTGGAAATGTTTATAGTCAATACAATCACATGTGCAATTCTTCTTATAAAAACTTAAACTGTACAGATGACGCAAATGGTGTAAACTCTGCTGATCAATTATGGTTAGCTATGCTAAATCAATATCGTACATTTCCTGACAGTTTATCTCATTTTGCCGATTTAGCTGCTTTTGCTCGTTCTCTTATCGGCGATGAAGCGACTGAGTATTTACGTGATACTTTTCTTTTTCAAGGCGATTTTGAGAACACTCATCCTAAAGCTTATATGGAGTTTTTTAATCAAGAATGGAATCTCCACGGAGAAAGTCTTTTTCCACATGGTGGAATGTCTCAGTTTCCAATAAGAATGATTTTAAATGCCACAACACAATTCAATGTTCGATTATATCCAAATGAAGAAGTATCGAGTATTGGAGATTACATTGTAAATGATAATCATGGTTTTCTATTTTCTGTAGAAACAACACGATATAAAATTCGTGCTAAACAAATTGTATGTGCAATTGATCCAGTTAATTTGAAAAACATCAGAGGTTCTGTAGCACAAGCGATTAAAGCAACTCTGCATTTTCAAGCCATTTTGCCAGTTAAAATAGTTACAATTCAAAACTATTGGCCTAGTAGATGGTGGGAAGTAACTAAATTAGTTTTACCATTAGGTTCAGTTGATCGAGCTTGGACACGTCAAAATTGTATTAATTCCGTTGTTCTTTCTGTTCAACGTCCTGCAGATCGCGATCGAAATTTGACTCGATCAGTTCTTGCTGATGGTTCATGCGTTAGTGTATGGGAGGAATATATTCGTAGAACATCATGTGATGATCTCATTGAAGAAATAAGACGAGGACTTCAAGCTATTTTTCTGGATGTCAATATTCCTAGACCAACAAAAACCTTCTATAAAGTCTGGCTAGGTGGTTGGCATTTTCAACAACCTCATAGTACTTTTACCAATCAAGATATCGCTACTTGGGCTTTGCATCCTCTATCAAGATTTAACCGTGACGCATTAACTATGGTTGGAGAAGCTTATTATTTAAATCGAGCTGCTTGGATAGATGCTGCTGCAAAATCAGCTCTTAGAGCTTTAACGTCTCAATTCAAAATGAATTTTCCTTGTTTTGATCACGATGATGCTGAAGGAAGATTTTGTGCTACAGCATAAAGCATACTACACAATACTAAAAATAATATAAATATATACACCAATAAGATCTCTATCGTAATAAACTGAATTTTAATTGAGATCGTCGCTCCCATTGAATGAGAGAAAATCGATTACATGTAAAATTTTAAGTTAGGAAACGGTAATTCCAAGGAGGACGCAGCTAATTTGAATCAGTCAAAAATCCCTCGAATCGCTCAAAATTACGAAAAACTATCAACAAAATCATTCAAAGTCACTGAAAATTACCAAAAAATCACCGAAAATTGACGAACATCACTTAAAACCATCCAAAATCACACAAATCATCTCAGAATCACGGACTCTGGTTCGCAAGTATCCCAAGCAGACAAGGATACTCAAAAACGCGTTTAAACACAACTAAAATTTGCATCGTGTTTGGATGCCAATCGCAGTTTCCAATTGCCAGACAGTAACGCTTAGAAATATGACGAGTATAAATGATCGCTTTTTACCCTAACTGAAATTTCGGACGTTTAATTGGTAGAAAATCTTCGTTGTTTTTGCATTCACTTTTTCTAACCGTTACTGACACAGAATTGGGAACTACGATAGGCATCCAAAAACGTTCGAAATTCTTTGGCGTTGTTTATCTACTATATGAGCACATTTCTCTCCACCAGTCCGAAACTTCGATACACATTCCAAAAATTCCCAGATTTTTTAACGTTTTCCCATTTCAACTTAGACCTTTCCATCAATATCCTTATAACTATATCCTCATGACTATATCCTTACATCTACGTGACTGAACAATTCGTTGCAAGACAATTTGGGTGTGGGTGCGGATGCTGCTCTTTGATTACATCCACACCCACATTCTCTATTTAAATAAAAAGTCACATTATAATCTACTAAAATAAAAATAAGTTTATGAAAAAAAATTCTATTCAAAATGACAATAAGTTTCATATAACCGATCTGTTTAAGATGAAGATATTTAATTATTTCAATGGTGTTGAAGAAGGAAAAATAAACTAACATTTCGAAATCATCTCGTTGACTAATTCTTTAAAATCGAAAACCCAAGAGTCATCATAGTTTCAATAGCAACAAAATTACAGATAATTCAAGCCTATGGATGCGGGCATTGAGAAAGAGAAGACCTACTCTACACCCATTCCAACTAGCTAATTTTCTGGCCTCGTCATTATTTCTCTTTTCGTTCTTCACGAATATATACCTTTTTATAAAGAGCAGTCTGCCAAGTATTCATGACTACTCGATATACAAAATCAATATATCAAAACTGATGAGCTCACATTTCATGTAACTAATGTCATTTTCAAAAAGCAATGGGTGTGGCAATTTTTTGAATAACTTTAGAATGGAAAGAGTCAGTGAGCTGCGGTTTTCACCGTTCGAAAGAGATGAAACCGGAGCGTCGTTTTGTCCAATATTGTGTAAGATGAAATCGTTTTAAAATCAATTATTTCTCCAAAACATTTCAAAAACTGCATGACAACTGTCTGTCATTACGATGAATTTTGGTTTTGGTATGTGATTTAGATAGAGGGACTTCAGATCTATAGTTTAAGATATAAGGCGAATGATTATCTTCACACATTTTAATGTTAAGTAAATAAAATTCTCTATTTACTCGCTCGAAGGGTGTGGGTGTGGATGTGAGACTAAAGATCAGACAGGTATCCACACCCACACCCACACACGACCCACACCCTAATCGATATAAACTTGACTTAAAATTAATTTCAAAATATCATTTTGACTTAATTTGTCGTATAATTCATCCTGAACATGTTATTTCACTTATACTTTCAGATGATGATATGACACCTGGTCAAATTTCATCATTTATTTCACATTTCTCTATTCATCAATTTAATAGATTATGTACATTAACACTTTGTAAAATAACAGAACAAGATTTAAATAAATTTCTTAAACATATTACTATTTCTTCATTTACTTCATTAATTATCGAACAACGTGCTTGTTATACTTCTTCGAATAGTCAATTAACAATGTCTATTCTTTCTCACATAATAACACAATCTAATCTTTGTAAACTTGAATTAGACATGAGATCTTATTCTACAGATGAAATATTATGGCCTAGTCAATGTTCTATAAAATATTTAACAATTTCGGATTGTAATTCTAATCAAATTGTTATTATTCTTCGTCATTCATCTCATTTACAATCATTTATTGTAAAGAATTGTATTATACATAATTTAACTAAAACAATTTCAATATCATCTGATTTAAAACCATTAACATCAATGATATTTGAAGATAGTGAATTATTAATGGATACACTTGGATGGTTTCTTTCATCAATGCCTTCACTTATTTATCTTAAATTAGAAGGACGACCATTTATGTATGATTCAATATTTGGTCAAATTCGATTAGAAAATTTTATTCAAACAAAATTACATTATTTAGAAAAATTTGAATTCTTTTTTAGTTTTGTTTATTCAGAGGTTATACAAAATCGTAGCAATTCTATTGAAACACGTCTTGAACAATTTCGAACTCCATTTTCGCTTGAAAATAAACATTGTTTTGTTAATTGTGATTATATTAAAAGTTCTGGTGAGATTTTATTATATTCAATACCTATATGTAATCATCGTTTCGAATATTATGATCATTCAAATAAAACTTCAAGTTCAACATCTTCTACAATTTATAAAGATTCAATAATAATGGATAATGTGCGTGAACTTGATTGATATTTGAAAAATATCACCAATACATAAATGATAAAAAAGGTAAGTGTTGCTGATAACTTATTTTGTGAAATACGACCTCAAAAAGTGTTGAAGTATCAGGATAAAACTTTGAACTCCCTGCCTCTACAAATCACGAGAGACATAACCACGAAACCAAAGTCTACTATGAGATTATTGTGAAATAAAACTGCCATTTAGATCTATGACGAAACGTGTCATTTTTTTACATTAACGGTAATATATTAAAGTTAGCATTTTTCAACATTGACAGCTAAATAACAGTTGGTAGCAATTCATAAATGGAAACATATTTTGATAAATTCCCTCATTTACAGTGTTTGCATCTTCATCGCGATTTACATTTTAATCCTACAGAAACTACGACGACAGTTTTTACGCTTAGATCATATCAAGTATAATAATGTTGATACTATAATAGCTTATAAAAGACTTGAGAAAATATAAATACTCATAGTCAAAAGAGTACTCCAGAATAATTCCTATGTTTTGTTTTGGCCGTTCAGTTCTACTTCTCGGAACGGTTAAAAGATGATATGAATGGTTTTGTAAAGAACGATATAGAGTCACCATCACTGCTTTTGGTATGACATTAGTATTATTCAGATGAAGTATTCTAAATAACGTTTAATATCTAACGATAAAAAAATGCACATATTTTTGATTTTTTTAGAATGTACAACCGATGTTTCGTAAATTAACCAAGCTCAAACTTCTTATTAGTGATGATTGGTCACTGGATTCATTTCAATTTGTTTCTACTTTAATCGATCTTTCACATCTAGTTAAAATAATATTAATTATTTCTTCTCATGGTGATTTTCTTCAAGAAATGATTGTGAATTTCTTTGATTTAACCAAACAAGCATGTAATGTTTGTTCACTTGAGATATTTAATCGATGGTATGGTATTAGTTATTTTATAAATATAGAAAATTTTTGTTCAATAATGCCTCAACATATCAAACATCTTGATATTGATATTGTCAATATTAATGATATGAAAGTTATTCTTGAACGACTTGAACAATTATCAAGTGTTAAAATTAAATTTTCATTTGAAAAATAGATTTTTGCTAAAGAAATTCTTGAATGGATTTCTCAAAAAAAAAAAAAAATTCAACACATTTGAAAGAGATGCATTATTTATCTTTGTGGCTTGGAAAAAAGAAAAATATTCTACCATCAAGAACGACTAGTCATAAACGTATCAAACTAACTCATTAGTAATATGATTTGTGATTTACTCGACTATTTTTGTTAACATTAATGTATCTATTTCGATCCTTTTTTTTTGTTATTGAATTTTTGTTCATCATTATAAATAATGATGATCTTGGCTCATACAGATCAGTTCCAATTAATGGTTTTGCAGGTATTCGGCATTATTTTTTTTTGTTTGGAAACTGCTTTTTCCGAAGGAAACAAGATTGGTAAGTATTAGTATTCGAAACAGTATCTAGTGCTTGTAAAAAGTTTCAAGTCGATTGAACACAATAGTTGAAGAAATGGAAGGGAAAATCGAGCTATTTTCATTCATTGACTCCTTGCAATCTTGACAACCCGCAAATAGAAGCATTATGTATTTTTGATCGAACCGAGTTTATTCTATTATCCAGAATCCATCTATCGTGAGCCTTTCCAAATTTTCTGATGATCCATTCTCTACAAAATCCATTTAATTCTTTCAAAAGGACGTCGAGCTCAATGCCGTCTATTAAGTTCCATGTTGTTCTCCCTCCAAATTTTAGATTACATTTTGAACCATTACGATTCAATTAATCATTGAAAGTGTTTGAGAGAACAGTTCGATCAAAGAAGTTGGAATTCTTACTGCAAGAAGACCTCAATGGAGTGTGTTCGTAAAAAGTTTCAAACTTCTAAGCTTATCTTTCTGCAGATCTGAAATGTTCAAGTGATCAAAAAAGCATAATTCACTCTTTCTGGATGACATGCAGAAAAAATCATCACTATTTAACAGAAAAGTTCAGCTCAATCATTTCAGTCCTTCGTGAAATATAACGGCTTGAAAAGTCCTTAACGACTATAACTGTATCTGAAGTCTTTATGACTTCTATAGAAGTTCAGTATAAAATCAGAGATTCAGTATTTTGTAATCAGCTTTTGATAAAAATGTCGTTTGTGTTATGTATGTTAACGGCTGTCAAATTGAAAAATACTAATTGAGTAATTCTGATCATTGTTTCCATGAATCCACTCCTACGTTTTAACTATGTACAAATAAATTACACACAATCATTTGCCGTTACTTCACGGCTGTATACTCGAAAGTCATCCACAGCACCTGCAAATGGACCCGGTGATATTTTATTTCCAGGAACTACAGAGCAGCTTCCACAGCCACTTAAACACCCACCCAATGTGACATAATTGATCCAGGTTGAGGCAGTCAAATACGAGATCGCAACTGCTGATCCGACCAAAACACCGTTGATATAAAGTTGCAGACTGTTAACTGCACTCCATGTCGGAACAATGTGTGTAAAACCAGTCAGTGGCAGATTTGCATATGACACGGCTACATAACTGGTGCAAGTGTTTATGGCTGCTCCCAGAGCGAAAAGCTAACCGATTGATTGGCTATGCCGAGAGCGAGAAATCCTGATGCTTGAAAGAATGAGACGGAGGAACCAACGAATGAAATAGCTTGTAGAGTGTGATCACTAATGAGAGTTTAATTTGAACCAAAAGATGAGACTGAATTTGGATCAAGGTCAAGCAATGGTGAGCTACTATCGAAGCTAAAGGGTGTGGGTGGGTGTGGGTAGTGCGGGCGTGGGTGTGGTTGTTGTGTTTTCTGACTCACATCCATACCCACCTACATCTACACCCACACCCACACCCACACCACACACCCACACCCACACCCACACCGCACACCACCCACACCCTCCAATGATTTACCTTTTTTTATTTTTTCATGAAATAGGAAAATTTTGACCATTTTTGAAAACAGAGATTTTTCGTACAAATGAAATAAAAAATTAACGGCAGGTTCGATTGAGCTGATTCAAATGGCAATCGACAGATCACCACCTGGTCTCCATATAGAGCACATAAAGAAAAAAAATATTTTTTAAAAATTTTTTACCAAAGAAAGAGGGGGGTGTACCCTTAATAATAGATAAGACTCAATTAAAATTCAATATTTATATCATCAAAATTTCAAAAGCACAAAAACAAAATTGCACTAACACTCTAAAATACTATTCACATCTCGCAATCCACGTTTGACCCGTACGAACAAATCAAAACGAATTCAAATGGACACGACATTTTTTAACTCGAGTCATCTACCCAGTCAGACACAACAAAACAAATCAAACTCCAAAGTCTTCCATCGTACACTTTAACAAAACCAAGAAACTTTATTGTCATTTTAAGATAAAATACAACATGAAAAAAGAACAAATCAAATATTCAACTCAAAACTTTTGTTCTTCAATAATTCATGATACACGATCAATGTTCACTAAGTTATTCCTTGAATATTTCGTTTTATCAATTCGACGAAACGAGCTTCCAACTTGCCTCCGATTTCATTGCCTCGGAGATCTAGTATGGTGAGTGTCTGTGTGAACAAGTGCAGATGGGTATATGAGAGAGATGAAGAGAGAATGAGGGTCACTGTGTTCTGTCGTAATGCATCAGCGAGATGTTGTGTTCCGACAGCTCCGATTTGATTGTAATGGAGATCTAGTGTGGTGAGTGTCTGTGCGAAAAAGTGCAGATGGGTATATGACAGGGACTAAGAGAGAATGAGTGTCACCGTGTTCAGTCGTAATGCATCAGCCAGATGTTGTGCTCCTTTGTCTCCGATTTGATTCCAGGAGAGATCTAGTGTGGTGAGTGTCTGTGTGAAAAAGTGCAGTTGGGTATATGAGAGAGATGAAGAGAGAATGAGGGTCACTGTGTTCTGTCGTAATGCATCAGCCAGATGTTGTGCTCCGACAGCTCCGATTTCATTGTCTTGGAGATGTAGTATGGTGAGTGTCTGTGTGAGAAAGTGCAGATGGGTATATAAGAAAGATGAAGAGAGAGTGCGGGTCACCGTGTTCAGTCGTAATGCATCAGCCAGATGTTGTGCTCCTTTGTCTTCGATGTTATTGCGGTGGAGATTGAGTGTGGTGAGTGTCTGTGTGAAAAAGTGCAGTTGGGTGTATGAGAGAGATGAAGAGATAATGAGGGTCACTGTGTTCTGTCGTAATGCATCAGCCAGATGTTGTGCTGCTTTGTCTCCGATTTCATTGAATCCGAGGTTTAGTATGATGAGTGTCTGTGTGAAAAAGTGCAATTGGCTATATGGGAGAGATGAAGAGAGAATGAGGGTCACTGTGTTCTGTCTTAATGGATCAGCCAGATGTTGTGCTCCTTTGTCTCCGATTTGGTTGTGTCGGAGATCTAGTGTGGTGAGTGTCTGTGTGAAAAAGTGCAGTTGGGTATAGGAGAGGAATGAATAGAGAATGAGGGTCACCGTGTTCTGTCGTAATGCATCAGCCAGATGTTGTGCTCCGACAGCCCCGATGTGATTCCCGGACAGATCTAGTCTGGTGAGTGTCTGTGTGAACAAGTACAGTGGGGTGTATGAGAGAGATGAAGAGAGAATGAGGGTCACCGTGTTCTGTCGTAACGCATCAGTCAGATGTTGTGCTCCGAGAGCTCCGATTTGATTGTTGTAGAGATCTAGTGTGGTGAGTGTCTGTGTGAAAAAGTGCAGATGGGTATATGAGAGAGATGAAGAGAGAATGAGTGTCACCGTGTTTTGTCGTAATGTATCAGCCAGATGTTGTGCTCCTTTGTTTCCGATGTAATCGTAACAGAGGCGTAGTGTAGTGAGTGTCTGTGTGAAAAAGTGCAGATGGATATATGAGAGAGATGTAGATGGGATGAGGGTCACTGTGTTCTGTCGTAATGCATCAGCCAGATGTTGTGCTCCGACAGGTCCGATTTTATTGGAAGAGAGACGTAGCGTGGTGAGTGTCTGTGTGAAAAAAGTGCAGTTGCGTATGTGAAAGAGACGAAGAGAGAATGAGGGTCACCGTGTTCTGTCGTAATGCATCAGCCAGATGCTGTACTCCGACAGCTCCGATTTCATTGCGGTGGAGATCTAGTGTGGTGAGTGTCTGTGTGGAAAAGTGCAGGTGGGTATATAAGAAAGATGAAGAGAGAATGAGGGTCACTGTATTCTGTCGTAATGCATCAGTCAGATGTTGTGCACGTTTGTCTCGGAATTTATTGTAGCGGAGATCTAGTGTGGTGTGTGTGTGTGAAAAGGTGCAGATGGGTGTATGAGACAGATGAAGAGATGATGAGGGTCAGCGTGTGCTGTCGTAATGAAATGTAGAGTATTTTGTTTCTTCTTCTGGGCGTGGCCAATCGTGACAGAATTTCATTTTTTGATCTTCTATAATGTGTATTTCCTTAGATATAACAGAGGATGGTTTGACTTTTCTGGTATAAGTAGAAACTCGCATGTACTATCATTAATTGAAATATGTTTGAAATTTCCTTGAAGTGTACGAAAGTTATAGTAAAAGTATCAGCCGTCACGGAATTTCGAAAAATGGAAAGTTTGTTTTAGAGGTACTGGAAATTTCACATTTTGTTACAAATGGAAACGCAATGTAGTAAAAAATTAAATTTAATATATATATAGTCGTCAACGGTGCCACCTTTTGAAGTCGAAAAAGGAGAAAATCATTTATAAAAAGCAGAGAATGACAGTAATTTAATGATAAAAAAGCAGAAGAAAAGATAGAAAGCATTTTTGTGTGATATAAAGCTGTTTTGAAACTTTGTCCCAGTATACTAATTAAGTGTTTTCACATAAAATCTTGATGTTTATTGTACAGAATCAAAAAAGGTAATTAATTAACAAATAAAAAGGATTATGCAACAAAGTTTCTTTTGAACGTATACTTTTCATCACGCTTAATAGATTTTAACCCTTTGAGGACGGGAAGCCTATATATAGGCAGCGGTTCTCGATCGACTTGTAACGCACTTGAATATGTCTCTCATTATATAGTGATGATCTACATTTAGTGCAGACTATGGATTCTTCACCACTGATGTGATGCTACACCACCATATGTATTTTATCCTGATACACCTTTCTAGCAGAGATAACGGGTGTCCCAGGAATAATGAGCCTCTCAGTATTTTACTGACATCTTTGTCAAAACTAATTCGTTCGGGGTTAATTTTTTTTTCAAACGATTCGTCTTTTCATTCTCTACAAGAATATATACTTCGTATTTCATTCGAACGTATCTTGTCCTCAGTATAAGATGAAAAGTAAAGATCTTCAACAAGTTGTTTTTCGCAAATACGAAGA